CTGACGCGTGGATGCCTATTGGTCCCGGTTGGTGCCACCAACCGAGACCACGTGCCTCCTGCCTGGGCTCGGCGCATCGGCCACGTGGAGGCCCATCTGTCCCGGTTTGTGTAAGAACCGGGACTAAAGGGTTAGGGCATTAGTAACGACCCTTTAGTCCCGGTTCACAAACCGGGACAAAAGACCCTTATCAACCGGGACGAATGGGGTTTTTTCTACTAGTGTAATAGGGTTTTTACCCACAGGGTACGCGGGTAATGGATACCCAATTCCATCCCTAGCCCGGGTAGTAGGGCCAAACTAGTCTCGCACTGGGTGCAACAGGACTGGTCGATGGAGGCCAGCTTTTGGGCCGCCCTATCGGATATTTGTGTTGGGTACTGCCCAGGGGTGCGAAAGACGGGGCCTTTCCACTCTCCTTTTTGGTTGGAATAGCGGCGGGTCTCGGATGAGATGGTATCAAGGTCTTTGTTGCCGGGACGACCCTGGTGGTGGTAGCGCGATGCTCATGGGCAAAACCCGTGAATTCGATGCTGCCAGATGACCATGGAATGTGGGCGGCGTGGGTGTGGCATTCAGTGGCGTTGAATGTTGGCTGGGGTGAAAACCTATACTGTCTTCCTGAATGGTCAAGATAAAACCAAAAATTTAGGGATGGTCAATATAAGTTAGAAAAGAAATTTCATCATGCATGGAGGCACAAAAAAAGAGAGCAAAATCCATGAACATACATATTCATATAAAAATAAAACACAGTACAAAACATAGTACACCAAGCACACTAGCAAATCATGAACAAAACCAGACGCTACACGTAAAATGTAGTGACACTGAACATAAACTTGCATGACCACAGAAGATGTCTCAATTCCTGGCTGATCTGAACATTTGCAGTCAGACTCCCCTAGCAGTGCAATTACCCTTTCTGTGCCCTGGAATTTTGCATAGGCTACACTTCACAATCCTTCTTCTGGATGGAGGGGGTGGCATTGCGCCAGTAGTATCTTCATGATCATGGCATGGGTCGTCCTCGTAGTGTTTTTTAGCTTTCTTAGCCACAATGTAATCCATACGACTCTTTGGACAAAGGGAGCTAGGTCGTCCTTTAGACAGCACACGTTGTGGAGGAAGCAGTTGGGTTTCTGACCCAAAATCAGTTATGGTATGTCGGACAGAATTTGCTTGTTCGGCGATATTATCAATAAGCATATCTGAAGCCTTCTTACTTGCAAATTTTTCTTTTGCCTTGCATATAGCTGCGAACGCCGTTTGGAATGACTCAAACCCGGACTCTGCCTCCTTGATAAGGTCCATATCAGCAACATATAGAATTTCTTCTATACGTAATTTGAGAAGACAGCTCCCCCATTTCACCCTCGTTTGCCAGGTGCAGTGGCCTTGATTCCCTTGCCCATAAAGTCCATCGTTGACTATATTCTTTGGTGGAATCTTGCCAATATTGTTCTGAACCAAGACCTGACAAAATAAATTTGTGAGACAGATGTGCAATCATTAATGTAGTAGATTAAGACGCATGTCATAGGACCATAATGAAAATATGTGCATGCCCTTAATGAATGGCAGCACAACAATCCGACATGATCAAAAAATCCACAATCACATGTGACAAAATCCCCACCGTCTTCCACTTTGACAGTGAATATTTTTTTGTCATAATCAGTTACGGCTAGTTGCAGCGACAACTTGACCTTGTAGACATGTCCAGGGTTGGAACGGCGTGCATCAAAAGAGCCTGATCTAAAAAGTTCATGTGAAATTTTTTCGTACAAGGCCTTCGTGTACACAGCCGCTGCATCTATCTCGATAGTAGCGCCAATTACAAGCCGTCTTCATGTCTATTATTCAGTGGAACAAATATATAAATGCGTGAGATAAAATAAAATAATATCAGAGAGTAGCTGGGTTATTAATACATGCATTTCTTTTATACCTGCTTGCTGACATAGTTTGCCTCGTCTTCTGCCTGGCTCCTAGATTCAAGCAATTTGTTGTACTGCTTAACAAACAAGTCCATTGGGGATGATCTGCTGATGAACTTTTTCAGGAGATGATTCGCACTCTCGCTCCGTTGCGTGCTGGTCATTCCGGCACAGGATATGCCCATGAAGTATGGCATTGCCCACATGTCCCTCCATTTGAAAATCCTGCGAAGGTACTTGTTTCCTTGAAGTTTGTATTTTTTTAATCAATTGATGCCACCTCCGCTCAAATGATTCTACATCCGTCTCTTCATTTACTATCGCGTGGAATTCCTTCTTGAAGACAGAATGTTTGTTGTACAGACGTCCAATTTTCTCTTTCAACACATTTAACACATGCCATCTGCACCACCTATGACGGGTGTGGGGCATTGTAGTCCATAAAGCATTTTGCATAGCTTTGCATTGATCTGTAGGAGTACAAAAGAAAATTGATCAAACTAAGGTGAACATATAATAGCATATGTAGAACCTGATAACCTACAACAATGTATGAAGAAAACTTTTATAATCTGACCTGTCAATATAGTAGTAGGATGTTTCCCATCCATCAAGTCAATAAATTTTCTGAATGCTCACTCAAATGTAGGAGTCTTTTCATCAACCATGAGGACGCCACCAAAAATAATAGACTGGAAATGGTTATTCACACCAACAAAAAGCCCAAATGGCATGTTATATAGGTTGGTCCTGTAAGTGGTCGAAAGTAACCACCTCACCAAAATGTGCATAATCTAGCCGGTTTTTACCATTACACCATATTACTATTTTCACCCTGCTTTCACCGTCTACTTGCACGCAAACTTTGAAGTCCGGATCTTTGGCACTCATATCCTGAAGTATACTAGTGGTTTTGTCCATATCATCGGCGATAGAATCATGAGCTATGCTTGCGCACAGTGTTCTCAATGTCTACTTCCTAAAAGGCACGCCTAGAGAAGAACCAAGACCTGACCATAATATGTTGTATATCTGGTCAAACCTGATGTTGTTCTCCCTGAGCTTACGAATAAAATCCTTTGCTAAAGGACTTATGACGCTATGTGATCTCTATTGTTTTTTCTCGCCACACTTCACAGATAGTGGGTGATTGTGCTTGTTAATGAAAACGGTCACATACCATCCATGGTCGTCAGTTCGATGTAGTCTTATACGAGCTTCACAATGAGTGCGAAATGTTGTTGTGTTGGGCCTTTCTTCTTTGCCCTGTGATAATGGTAAAGAGACGGAGTCATAGGCAGAAAAAGAAGTATGAACCACTAAACCGACCGAGACCATACAAACAATTAAGTTTAAAATGATGCATATCGCACACCGGCAAACGATGTCCTGCATTGTTCTGTAATTTTTGCTATTAGTGCTACTCTTTCCATAGCAAATACCAAAGCCACCCTCCCAAGAGAACATGTTGTAGAAATCGTAAGCTTCATCCTTTGAATCAAAAATTGTCCCAACACTTGGAACCTGCATCGCCCCTAAAAGCAGCGCGTTCCACACACTTCTGGAACCGACTTTTTACCGAAGGGGCAATTCTGTAGTCCAGCCCTTCGAACGCTTCCCGTTTACTACATATTTTGGCAAAACTGTTATAGAGTATTAAACCGAAGTTTAGACTAACGTATTCGTCCAGCAAAAATATAGAGAAACAAAACAACCGTGGAGTATTAAAACATGACCTTTTTGCACAGTGTACTTAAAAGACTCTGCTAAATATTTTTATAAACATGATTTTTTGGCATATTGTGCTTAAAAGACTGTGCTAAACCTTTACTTTTAGTGAACAAATAAGTAAATTACATTTTGGCTTTTATAGTGATATGTTTTTGCCAAGAACATATTGTTGTACCTGCAAAAATTGATGAAGTTTAACGGCGGCAAATACAGTCTAAAGATAGTACTCATAAAAAAAACTACCTGGTATCTACACACAAAACCTGGTTATCCTGAGCGTGTGATGATGGACGAGCGCAGGATGATGGCGTTGTTTGGCGTCGTGGTGGCATCGACGACAGCTAGACCGGGCAAGGTAGATGCAACATTACATCACTCAAGATGGATTGGTGGCAGGTGGCTGCGGCGGCCTCATACCCGACAGGCGTCCTGATTGAGTAGTGCGCCGGACTGGTGGGTGTCCCATACCCGGCAGGCGTCCTGGTTGGGACCTCAAGTCTTAGATGTTAGGTTTGGCTGCGAGGTCTGTTTGGTATTACGCCCAGAATATCAGCATCCCTACATCAATTGGATAGGAGTAGCGACAGATGTTGCCTAGACGGTGGCTTTAGTCTTACTGTTGTATGACTTTGTAAGGTCTTGTATGAATAATTAATAAAGTAGATGCATGCATCGTCCAGATGCAGAGACCGGGGTCCTCCTCCATTTCTTAAAAAAAATCTACACACAAAACCTGGAGTTTAGCTGATGGTTCACGTTAATGAAAACTTCGCTATAACTATCGAACAAGACTAATTAACAACAAAATGACACTTGACAGTTCAGATAGTATGCCATTATCACCATCGTACAGCACAGAAAAATTACTTCTAACAATAGTTAAACAATCCCAGTAGAAAATAAATCAAAATGTACTACTTTTTCCACTTTGGTGCTGATCTTCCAGATTGCAGTTCTGAGAACTCTGGATTCGTTGTGATTGAGTCAACAACACCACAGCCAGGATTAGAACAATCTGATAGCTCGGTGCCGCCTTTGTTTGATCTGCAAGGAGGGGGGCGCAGGTGCTTGAGTCATTTTTTCAAGGGAAAAAGATAAGTATGCAAATCAAACATGAGACGGCATCTTTTTGAACAGGGTAAATACCTGTTAGAGAGCGCATCCATGCCGACGCGAGTGAGAGCACGGCCATGTGCTGATGGTCTAAAGAGGTGGCTTCTTCGATAGCCATGGATGGAGCTCTCATGCTGCGAGCAAAGGAGTTGTGGCGCAAAATGGGCTCCTCATCCGCAATATGTAGCGGTCTGGAAGATGAACAGTATCACAGATGAATGAGCAGAGGATTGCTTTTTTATTCATTGGGCATTGGCTCAAGTGCTAAAGCGTTTAGATAGGTGTGCCATCCATCATTACGAAGAAAAAAAAACTAGCCTCCGCAGGCCTAGGGGTGTGCCAGCTAATCGGTGCAATCAAAGAGACTAATGAGGCCTCGGGCTGTTTGGGCCTTAATCGTTTTTTTATTCAAATGGTACACGGATCCACATGCAGAAGCCTGGGCAATCCAACGGCGTACCATGGTCCAGAATCGTGCCTCTCCTTTATCGAGATAGAGTTTGGGATGGTACTGATCTTAAAATTACATTTAGGAGATGTTTCTGAGGAGCTTCTTATACTATGGTTTGAGCTTTTTGAAATAGCTAATTCCATTCAATTTTCTGATGTGGATGACTCTCTACTTTGCATTCTTAATTCTATTGGTGTTTAACTGTCAAATCTTTTAATAAAATTGTTAATCTCAGAGGAGTTCTCCCTAGCAATGCCCCTGCTGTCTAAAATTCCTGCCAGGAATCATATTTTTCTGTGGCTGTTGGTCAACAACAAAATATTGACTAGGGATAACCTGTGCAAGAGACAGAATGCTCCTGATACTACCTGTGTTTTTTGTTCAGAATCTGAATCCTGTCACCATATTTTTTTAGTTGCCTTGTTTCGATTGAGTTCTGGAAAGCTGTCACGAGGATTACTGGCTATAGGGGGGACATAAATATGTTTTCTTTCTCTGCTTGCTGGGCGGGCGGTGATAGACTGGCCAGGCCCGGAACGCCAAGGGTCGTGCCTCGGCTTGGAGGCTAGGCACACGGGCTGGCACGGCATGGAGTATGCCAGAGTTCATCAGGGAAGTCAATGGCCTCGATTTCTGCCATGTCCTTGAAGAGAGCGATGGAGCGGTTGTCTGCATGCTTCAGATGCTCGAAGAAGAGGGCGTTGCCCTTGTTGTGGATTGAGTTGTGGACGGTGACAAGGTAGCGTGAGGAAGATGAGCAACGTGGCACCACAGCTTGATGACGAGACAACGAATGTCGGAGAGCCACGGTGGGTGTGGATCAGTGGAGGAGCCAGGATTTAAGCAAACCCCGGGCCAATTTTTTTTTTTTGCCGATATTGAAAAACTTTCACACTTACTAACCAAAATAACCGTGTACTAACATTCCAAAAAACTTAACACTTATATGTGTCCCAAATTTCATTTAAAAAATTAAATTTCAGTTCAACAATACATGCAAGACATATACATACTGCTACACACGCAGTTTTTTTTCCATTGAATTTCAGTTCAATGCAGTCCTAGGTTCAGTGTTAAATATCATCTCAAAAGTTCAGTGTTAAATACTTCAGTTATTCAGTATATACGCACTATGCATAGTCTCGGTCAGAAAATTACCCAGCAGCCGGTAGGACCGCAACAACACGGCGGTCTCGTCCTGGAGCGGACGACGCTCGGGGCGCAGCGGAGGTTGGGCTCCCGGCTCGCGCGCAAGACGATGGAGGCCGGAGGGAGGCCGGGAGCTGATGGACTGGTAGCAGCATGGGACGACGGCGCCGGATCGGGACGACAGCGCGGGGGAATGCTGGTAGCGCGGCTAGGGTTGAGCCCGGCAAATGGCGGAGGTCGATCCGCGCGGCGGCTGCATCTGATCCTCTGGAGTCTGGATGTGCGCGTGCGTAGGTCAGCCCGTCGTGCGTGCGTGTGGGACGACGCTCTACATGGAAGAGCATTATGCATGTGGGCTGGGCTACAACCTGGGTCCATATCGAATTCTATATTGGTAATAGCTTTGAAAAAACTCCACGCCCCGGGCCTGGGCCCTGGGTGCCCGGGGCCCAGCTCCGCCCCTGGTGTGGATGGCGTCGCGGATGAAAGATGACGGTGTCGACACTTGGGAGGCACCAACAGGGCATTGGAGGCCAAGCCCATGTCGGAGGAAAATATTGATCACGGAAAGAGAAAAAAAAATTATGCTTTATGTACGTATGCCTTGGAGGAAACAAGCAAGATTTCACGCTTGAGTGAAACAGATTGATAAACAACTGTGTACATACACAGAGCTCGAAATCCAATGGGTAGGGGTTTGTAGAATTTACACCTGTAGGAGTGTAGGTACGGACCATATAAAATGTCAAGTTTTGGACATGAACACTTCCATTACAAAATATTTCTCACACAAAGAGGAAGATTTATACCTTCTGCACAGTACAGCTGCCTTCAGCGAGACAAGCAATATCTCACACTTCAGTGAAATAGGTTGAGGTGGTACTTGAGAAGTAGAGTCAAGAGCTGCAGCCTGTTGTGTGCCTAAGACCTCTGAAAGTCACCATCTCAGACTCTCGGTGAAAATAAATATACACTACAGACTGAGACTGTTGTGTCACACCTTTTTGATATAGTACTACAGAATCATCAGATAGTGACTTCTGTAAGAAAAACAAAGAAAGCACAATTTTTAACATAAAGACAGAAAAACCAACAGGATTAATAGAATGAAGGAAAAATATAGATTGCAGGAAAAGAACAGTATGCTACTCCCTCCTAACCATAGTTCAAAGTTGTGACACTTATTTTGAATCGGAGGGAGTAGTATTGATCAGAACCATTCGTTTTCTCTTAGTATATGAACTTAAGGAAATAGACAATGGCGAAATAACTGAACTTATTTACATGTTGCAAATGTTGACAAATGTTCGAAGAGATGGACAAATAAGGTGTTCCATAATGAATGACAATGTTTGGACAGCTCCTCTTTCAGGCAAGAGTGTGACGTGAATCAACAGTTGGCCAGATAAGTATTCTTATTACTAATGATGGGTGCGCACGAAAAAAAAATTATACCTAATCCAAGTGTCAAGCAATATCTGGCAAAAGAATAAAATAAATAGCTCAATCAAGTCTCACAAGACTGTAGTTCAGAAAACATATTCCAAATGCGCAAAATTACAATACATATATTAGCATCGTATAGACAAACAATGGACATAAATTAAGCAGTGCTACCTCCTATTTGACTAAGACGCAGCAAACAGGACACATCCAATTGATACATATATTGAGTTGCTTGTTTGACACACACAACACATGACACATCCAATTGGATCAATTTGACTGAGCTCGGATGGGATCCGTACATGGATACATCATACATGCATGCAGAGCTAGTGCCCAGTGGCTACTCCAATTAGAACATAATGAAGTATATAAGTGCATAACCGAGAAAACCTTGTAGAAGCAGGAAGCGACGGGAGCAGACGGCGTGGCGTGGCGGCTTCTGGTCCGGCTCGGCAGCTCGGCGCACGGGAGACAAGCACGCCAGCGCCGGGGTGAGGCACGGAGGCAGCCAGGCAGGGGAGCGGCTCCAATTCACACCGGAGTGGGCACTGGGGAGCGGGAAGCAGAGCCGGGTTCCGGAGAGGGACATGGCGAGCGGCGGCCGGGAGTGCTCCCGCCGGTGTGGGGACTGGGGAGA